GGGGGGAGCGGCCCCAAAGCGGCGCTCCCCCTGCCACGCCCGGGGCTCAGCCCCGGCTGAGGAGCGCGGGCGCCTGGAGCCCGTGGCACCTCAGCTCCGGCGCCGCGGGGTGAAGCCGAGCCCTGGGAGGGTGGTGCGCGGGGCCGTCCTGCTGCCATGGAGCCGAGGCGGTGCTCAGCATCCCCCTGGATCGGCGCGCCAGTGGCCGCAACACAAAACCTCCCAAAAGGCCGAGGGACAAGGGGGCTCTGTGCCCGCGTCCCCCGGGGCTGCGCAGCCGGGCTCGCTGCTCACGCGCTCCCTTCACACGGTCTCTGGCTATTGTTGAAACTGCTGCCGGCTGCAGAAAAGAGCACGGCAGGGAGGGGGCTAGCACAAAGCCCGTCTGTGCCGGCCGGGGGGCATGCTGCCACTGCCCCCCTGCGCCCCAGCCTGGCTGCCGGCGCAGAGGAACAGCGTGGGAAGCTGCCCGCCGGCTCGCCCAGCCAGCCTCCCCGGCAGAGCTGGAGCCCTCGGCCCCTGTCCCGCTCCCCGCAGCCTTTCCCCCGAGCCCTGGGAACGCCACGGCCCTTGAGACGACACAGCCAGGCACCGATAGAAAGGATATTTTATTCCTTTCCTCCCTTAGGTCACAGTACAGAACACACCAGTCCTTTACCACAGCAGCACACTCGCCTATTTAAAAGGAAACACAATAGCTCAGTTTATTTTACAACAGTCAGGATTTTGCCATTTCTACACGCCACAGGGATTTCTTTGTTTCGTGTTAACACCGACGGCACACTACAGACACCACGGGCACCGCGACGCGGGACACGGACACAGCTGACGCTGGGGCTGGGCTGCGCGGGGCCTGCTCTGCCCGAGGCTGCGGAGCAGCGCGGAGGCAGGAGGCGAGCGGAGCTCTCCGCAATGGCCACAGGGAGGGGAAGGGACGGGGTACCGGAGACACGGTCCCTCTGCCTCGCGCAGGTGGGACAGAGCGTGCTTCCCAACGCCACCAAGGGATGCAAAGCGCGCAGGGCCACAGCTCACGCGGGAGGCAGGACCACCGCGGCGGGTAGGCATAGCAGAAACCCCTCACAAAACCATCCTGCAGGACAAGAACCTCTTCCCGGCAAGCGGACGGCAGTCTGACGTGTTTCACTGCAGCCCTGGGGATCCACCCTGCCTTGGCAAGCACCCACGACCAAGCCGGCAGTCCCCAACCCCAGCCGAGGCCACGGTTTTGCATGCCCATGGGCTTGGGGAAGGGGCCAGACTCCCCGCTTTGCCTCCGACCCACGAGTGGACACAAGGTGACACTCGGGAGCCGGCGCGTCGCCGCTGTGGAAAGCCCCCGAGCATCGCTCACTGCTGCTCCGCGGGGAGAAGGGGCAGTTGGCACCGGGAGGCCGATGACACGCAACCGCCGGACCACGGCACAGGGAGCAACAAGGCAGCAGGAAGGGCAGGGAGCACCAGGAGGAAACACCGCCGCCCCTTCCCCGCCGGAGACAAGCAAGGACAGGATCTTTGTTTCAGTCCGCGTTTCTCTTTAGCCCTCAGAGACTGTTTAACCTGCCCGCCTCCGTCTCGCGGGCAGGCAGAGCGTTGGCGAGGAGCTGCTTTGTGCGGGTTAGCAGGGTCACTGCTGCGCAGCCGTCCTCTTTCACAGTGTCACCGTGCTGGGGGATTTCACGGGCTTCTCTGCCACCACAGCATTTCCTCACGTTTACAACGGCATCCCACACAGACGGCTTGGTTTCAGCCAAGGACACAAATGGGGAGCACCGAGCCGGCGAGGAGGGGGAGCTCCCTTCAGCCTTAAATCCAGCACCCAGGTGCCACCAGCTAGGGCACCCCGCCTGACTCGCCCCCACCGCGGCTGCCTTTGGGCTGGGGGTGCGCGGATTATTGCTGAAACGGCACCGCGCGGTCCAGAGTCACGCTGGGTAGGCCCCCGAAACGCCACGGGACTGGTCCCCGAGCCCTGCCCAAAGGCAGCCGGGGTGAAGCACGAGCCTCCGGCTGCGGGGGCGGGGAAGGGGGGGATGCAGGGCTCCGCCAGGGCTGCAGCGGGCCCCCCGCACCGCAGCCCGCGCCGGCCTGCCCCGCGGCTCCCCTTCCCGGGCTTGGGGGGCAGCGCCTGCCAGTCGTACGCAGCCGGAATCACAACCACAGCACGAGAAAGGTAAAGAGAAAGTCACTATTACAACATCAGCAACAACTAGCCCTAGAGGTAATGATCACCTCACATCAACGTTACACGCCACTGGAGGCAGAGAGGACGGTGAGCGGAGTTTAGTCGGGTTAGTAAACAGAACCGGTGCTGGAGTACAGAGGGTAACACAGACAGGGCAGCTTCGCATCTCCTTAGAGGGACCCATTGCTGCGGTTTCAGTTTCCTCGCAGGCCACTGGCATCTGCGGTCCGAGCATCTGTCCTGGGGCCTCCGGGTCTGCGCGGGAAGGAGAGCAGCGAGTCAGGCCGGGAGCGGTGCCGCTGCCTTTCCCTGCGCGGCTCGTCCACCCGCAGCACAAACGTGCTCCCGCTGGCACGGGCTCCAGGCTTCGCCCCTCTCCCAGAGCGGGCCACAGCCCAGGAGCTCGGGGGAGCTCCGCAGGCGAGGAGCGAGATGCCCCGGGGGACTCGCGCTCCGCTCTCTAGAGGCCCTAAAAATAAAACCACTTTGGGGCGGAGGAGCGCAAGGAAAGGAAACGCAACGCAAGGGAAAATCCGGAGAGACGCTTCCTTTTTCTGCTGGGCTGCCTGGGGCTTGCCGAGCACGGGACACCCGGGACCTTGCCAGCACTGCACGTTTCCCTGTCGCAGCCCCTACCAGTGCTCGCTCCTGCACCGTGCTGGGGACGTGGAGCTGCCCAGTCCCAGCAGACTGGTCTACTCGGAGCCCCGCAGTCGCCCCCCTACACAGCCCCGGCTGCCTCCCCGTTCCTTCCCAGCACCGAGGCCGTGACAGCCCTGGTGCCACCACCCACGCTGGCCGGGGCCGGGCCGCGGCAGCCCTGGGACTCACCACACGGCTCTCGTTCAGTTCTCTGCTTTCTGTGCTCCCGTTGCTGCAAAGGGAAGAGCAGAGCGGTTTGCAGCGCCCGCCCAGAGCTGCGGGCTCCGCAGGCAGGCGAGCGCAACGCAGAAACGGTGGGAGAGCACGCGTGGCGCGGGACAGGCGACCTTACCGTTTGAGGTGATCAGGTTCTCAGCCTGAGCCTCCTCGTCCCCTGGAGCTCTGCAAGAAGAGGTGCACCGTGAGAGCGGCTGGGACCTGCACCCCGTCCCAGGGGGTGGGATGCCCGACAGCGCAGGGGCACGCCGAGGAAGGTGCCCTGGGAGCGGGCACAGGAGCTCTGCAGCAGAGCATCCCTCTGCTTTGGGCACCAGGCGCCCAAAAGGGATGCTCAGAGAGCGCAGCCACGCCGCCAGCTGCGGGAGGGAGCCCGGGAAGGGCTGAGCACGGGGCAGAGAGGCTCTGCAAGGGAGATGCTGCCCTCACTCACCTGGGCTTCTGGTTGAAACTGCACCTGCACCTCCTGCCTGCAAGGGGAGAGAAACACCGTGAGCGTGGCCAAAGCGGGAACGGGCCACGGCCTTTCCCGCCAGCCACCCCCCGTGAGACCGGCGCCCGCACGCCCAGCACCCGCCTGGTCCCCAACTTACTGAGTATGAGGAGAATGCCGACGGTGAACAGGACCACGGCAAACACCAGCCCCCCGATCCTCAGGCTCTGGTAATCTGGGGGAGAAGACACAGGGGCTCGTTCCTGCCGGGCTCAGGGAAGGGGGCAGCCTCTTTTGCTCCCCATCGCACAGGCGCACACGTCCCTGCCAGCACACCCATCCCCGTGCACGGCGAGGCTCACCATAGTTAAAGGGGTCTTCCTCCTTCTCCTGGGTGGCCACTGGAAATAAGCAGACAAGGGGTGCGAGGTGAGCAAGCCTTCTGGCCCAGCCCCTGCAAGCCCCCCCCGCCCCGCCGCTGGGGCAGGGACCCCGCTGGGGCTGCGGGCTCCCAGGGCTGCTGCCCCCCGCCTCGCTCCAGCCCCCCCCTGGATCGGAGGGGCGGCTGTCCTCCGGGGCCCCACAGCCTTTTCCCACGCCCCGGCCACCTCCTGCACACGGGAAGCACTTGGCGCCTACCGTCTGCCACAGCCGCCGGCACCAGCAGGGAGCACAGGAAGATCAGCACTGCCTCCATGGCCGCTGCGAGAGAGGGGAGAAGCGGGCTCAGCACCCGGGCGGCTGATGGAGGGCACCGCGACGGCGCTGGCTCTGGGAAACACCTGGGGCTCGGCCACGATACCTGGTGCCGTAGCTGCGCCCAGCCCGACGGAGACATGGCGGCTCGCCGGCGCAAAGGAGGGGAAGGGTTTGAGCAGACAGACGGACAGGCTTTTTGTGGGGTTCTGTGGTATATTTTCAACCACCTCTGCAGCGCTGGCTCTGCTCCTGGCATGGATCTGGGTGCAGTCTCAAGGCTGCACTGCAGGCAATGGGGCCAGCACAAGGGCTGTGATCTCTCCGTCAAGGTCAGTGCTGCGCCCTTCACCCAGAGCGTGCTTTAATTTGTCCCAATTAGCATAGCAATTACAGCACATTCCTACAACGAGGCCAGTGGCCCTGGTGGGACAGGAGCTGGCGGCCGCACCTGCCCCTCCCAGCTCCCCACGCCCACCTGCAGCAGCAAGGAGAGACCCCAAATACCCCGCGGTCCCCCCTCGCAGCTGAGCCTGTCCCTGCCCCCTCACAAGCACCGACACGCTGCCCTGTGCGGGGCACAGACCCTTCTCCAGGGCTGCCAGCCTGGGGGTAACCCCGCCAGCTCGGGCAGGGGCTGCACACCTCCACGCCCCGAGCTGCTGCTGCACCCGTCTGGGATGGGCACCCCTGTTGCTGGGACCAGCCAACACCAGGCACCGCTGCTCTGCAAAGGGAGGGCCCTGCCAGCGCACGCGGTACCTATTAACCGGCCCCGAGCAGAGCGGGGCCGGCACGAGCATCCCTTCTCCTCCTCCCGAGGGGACAGGCAGGGGTCGGGGGAGCAGCTGCCCTTCGTCCTGCCAGCTGGCACAGGGCGCTGCGCACCCAGCCGCCCCTTCCTGGTGGGTGGCTGCGCGCGGGGGACGCCTCTTGCCAGGAGCAGGGGGCTTGGCAGATGCCTCTCCTTCGCGGGAGCGAGCCGGGGGCCCGGGAGCGCAGAGGCAGGTTAGGCCCTCC